CCTCAATCTTAAAATATATCAAGAAATCATCAGCAAATCAAGATATTCCTTGAATACCATATTCATTAAATTCATAAAGCGACATTTGTTAGGCCAAAATGCGTTTCTAGAATTGTAATGGCCACAATTTTCACAAAAAGTAGTCTTAACTCTTAGGAATATCTTCTTCCTCAATATTCAACTCTTAATATAGAACCAAGAAATCTATCTTTAAAAAAACCACGGATCCTAGAAATGATCGGATGGATCATCTATTCCTTGAAGCAAATACTTATTCTTGATGATCACTTTATTCTCTTCCTAATAACCTTTATTTCCTCTTCCTATGGACTTGGTTGCCTCAAGACGATATTTTTTTTTTCTTCGATGTTTTAATTTAGGAAATATTCAAAATTATTTCGACTCCTTTGAAAATAATTAAATGCTTGATTTCTCTTAAAGTCTATCAAACCTTGAAGTAATGCAATAACATCATCTTTTGTGAAAATCTGGCCACAGAAAGTACGATCCCGTTTGGTCCCCATTATTTCAGATTATATTGAGAGGAATTATAATTTTTTAGGTAATGTGTGATTAAAAAATAAGAAAGAATTTTTTGATTTACGTGTAATATTATTTTATTGGAGATTGTGTGATTGATAAAAAAAGAAAAAAAATAAATTATAATTTGATGGAGAATAATGGAGTCAAACAGTCGATTAATTTGGGGTCTGAGTTTTCTTCTCCAATGGCGCTTCTTCTTAATTTTCAGATGCCGAATCTGAATTGAGCCATCTTCTTGTTTTGCATGAGCTTCTTCTTTAGATTTATGATTTTTGATAGTGAGAACTTAAATCCTCAAGAAAACAAAAATTCAATAATTTAATTTAAATATAAACTATTATTATTAATAATAATCATCAAATAAATGAAAAATTAGTGACGTGGAGGAAAAATGAAGTACATATTCTAGATTAAAGTTAAGGAGCACGAATTTAAATATTGGCAAAAATAATATAAAATGAAGGCTTTAAAATGTAAGTATACAAAAATGCAATTAATTAAGCAAGTAATAACATTTATAAATATAAAATTAACCATCTTGATATATACAGATTGTCAAAATATTATTCACAATGTTTTATTACTTTTTAGTATTATTTTTTCAACTAATTTGATTGCGTGACCATACAAATACGACGATTTTCTTTATAATTTTTCAATCCAACATTTAAAATTTAAACATAATAATTAACGTTCACCACTCTATAATCTAATCTAACAGTCCTGTTCCAATGCCCGTCACTGGCATTGGAAGGAAAACCCATTTCCATACGCATCACCATGGTAAAAATATTGAAATCATTCACTTTCAATTAATGTGGCCTCCAGCAAGTGAAATCAATAACAACCCACCCCCCATATTTTATTACTTTCCAACTAATAAACCCCCTCGCCCCTGCATGCATTAAACACTAAACACGTCCACCCAACAATAACCCAACAACCCTATTTTAATGTATTAAATCCACAACCCCCTGTACAAGCAGTAAACTATTAAAAAACATTTGTTCTTCTTCTTCGTTGTTCATTGTTCATTTATCTCAGTCACTATCAGTTGGGTGCAAAGGTAACTTGACGANGTCTAAATTTTATAACAAATAAAATATATAAATTAAGGGCAAAAAAGGTAGCTAAATATTCCCATGTTATAAATTTGCAGATAGTAAAAGTACTGACATGAAAGTACAGGGTCACTTGCTATGTTTTTCCACAGTCCTGTTCCAATGCCCGTCACTGACATTGGAAGGAAAGCCCGTTTCCATACGTGTCACCATGGTAAAAATGTTGAAATCATTCACTTTCAATTAATGTGGCCCCCAGCAAGTGAAATCAATAACAACCCACCCCCCATATTTTATTACTTTCCAACTAATACACCCCCTCGCCCCTGCATGCATTAAACACTAAACACGTCCACCCAACAATAACCCACCAACCCTATTTTAATGTATTAAATCCACAACCCCTTGTACAAGCAGTAAACTATTAAAAAACATTTGTTCTTCTTTTTCGTTGTTCATTGTTCATTTCTCTCTGTCACTATCGGTTGGGTGCAAAGGTAACTTGACGAACTTTTTTTTTAAACTTTTTATATTATGCAATTAATTTTTTGGGTTCTCTCTATTATTAGTTTAATTTGTTCTATCTCTTTGTCAATGTGAGCCATTTGTTTCTATGTTTTGATTTACGAATAAATTTCCTATTATAAATCATATACCCTTAAATTAATTAGTTTAGTTTTAGTTAGACTGTTTCATACAATAAAATAATATACGTTTTACAACCGTGCATTAGTTTTACTTTAAGATGTTGGTTAAATGTGTAAATAAATTAGATTGCTCACACGATGATTGATTGTCTTTTAATTATTAATGGAAAACAAATAGGTTAAAACAATTAATATTTTCCATAGTTATATTTTTCAAATTTAGATGATTCATTTGAGTCATAAAATCATACCCAATATTATTTTAACAACACCAGCTTATTTTTAGTGGCACATATGATGATTTCAATGGTTTCTCGGGCGACTTTCCGTAGGTCTTGATTTTTCTAGAAGTTAGATTAATGTGTTTGCAAGACGAAATATGTGTCTTTTTCCCTCGGATTGTAAGTCGTGTATTGATGTATCGTTTCTAAGTCGTTGTTGGCTGTAGACATTTTATCGTTTATATCATAAGAGTTAATTAATGGCTAGAAAATTGTTGCATTTTTTGTGATTAGGTTTTGCATCATAAAGAATTTAAATACTAAAAATACGTGTATAAAAAAAAATTTGGGTGCAATATTAATTGACTATAATTATTAATGTATATATAAAACACTTTTTAATTGATACGGATTTGTTTATAATTAGTGGGGGGATTTCATATGAAGCAATAAAATTGGGGGGTGGGGGTGCTTGACTTCACGTAATGGGCCCCACGCTGGTACAAATTGAGGGATTTCAATATTTTTACCATGGTGACACGTATGGAAACGGGTTTTCCTTCCAATGCCAGTGACGAGCATTAGAACAGGACTGCTATAATCTAATACTAAAAAAGAAGAAGGCAAAAACCATTGACAAGAACAAAAGTTACAAAAAAGGGAAAATAATTGTAAATTGGATTTCGGCTGGTGGATTGGTCCTCTAGCCTCCTAGATCTTTTCAGTAATGCTATTTAACATCATTGATTTAAAATATCAGTTTAAGTGGTTCTAATATGACATTAAATGAGATGCACGTCACCTAAATTGATCTACTTGTGTTAAATAGCATCATTCATATCTTTTTCACCATTAATGATGCATCATTCATATGGATCTAACATCTTTTCAACCACACATTTCAAAAATCTCTATCACAATTTACTAAAAATCTAATTTTAATCTCCACCAAACACATACTTAAGTACATGTTTGGGCTCAATTTTTATTAAAACTCATTTTTTCGCCATTCTTTTTCAACCATATATCTCATATATAATAATTTACACGTAAATCGATTTTTATTTTTATTTTTTAACCACACATTCTTCAACATTTTATTATTGCAAAATGAATTCTCTTTAAAAAAGGAGCTCAAGAGCTAAATAAGAAATATTATTACTTATTTTTATTTAGAATTATTGGTGGACCTGACCTCTATTGGCCTATATATTTTTCACCATTAATGATCGTTCTACTTTTCACGAACGGCATTTACTTCACTTGGACCCCGCAAAATTTAAATAAAAATGTTATTTCTTAGTTTTAATTAAATTTATTTGTGGTTACTGACCTATTAGTAAAATCTCAATTAGAACATTAAATTTTATTTATTTCAATTTGATCATTTAGTTTCAATTTTATTTTAAATTTCATCGCCCTATCGACTGACCATTACGCTTTATATTAAAATGTTAAAATTTAGTTTATTTTCTTTATGAAAATTTTATAATGTGGCGTAGTGGTAAGTTGTCATGCACCGATTGCATAAAATTTTCTTAATTAGCTCTTGTTTTGTGGGAATTAAAATAAGATTTTAGTAAATTTTGATAAAATTTGACGAAATGTGATTCAAAAGTTGTAATTCCCATAAAATACGTGGTTAAAATTAATTATTAATTTTGATTTAAATTAAAATCCTACCGACATGGACTAGAGAGTAGGATTAACTTTTCAAAGAGCCAAACTCACTAATAGTTTCTACTTTATAATGATTGCATTTAACAAATAGAAATTTTCGTTATTCTGCTTAAATAATTCAATTCATAATATAACTATTGACCATTGACATATAAAAAAATATGTTAATTAAAAAAATGAAGAAAAATCATTAAATATTTATTGAGAAAATGAAATAAATGGTCAAAATAGAGAACATTATTTGGATTGTATGAAAGATTTTACTCTCTAAATTTAAATATACTTTCTATTAGGCATAAAATGCTTGGTGAGTTTCTTGAATATGCTATAAGAAAAGTAAACCTTAATTTTTAATTTTTATTTTTGGTGGGATTCATTCAAATTTTAGTATATTTTGATAAAAATTGATGAACTGGGTGATTGAAAAGTTGTAGATATTTTAAAATAAGTAATTATAGTTAATTGTTAATTTTTACTTAAATTAAAATATAAATTTTAATTCCTGCCAAATAGGAGCTCTCCAAAAATTTGAATCACACATTTGTGCACGGTTAATTATAAGCCATGAATTATTTGCCAAAAATGCCATACGACTGATGAAATTTGAAACTCAAATTGAAGTTTAGCGATGTAATTAAAACTAAATTAGGTTTAGTAACCAAATTGAATGTTTTCTAAAAGTTCAGCTACCACAGATGAAATTGGATGCTGCATATCCAAATATACCGGATAGCTCAAGTCAACGGTCGTCGTTGTTACTGTTCGGCTCCAAACTTCCTTCAAATCTTTAAAATCCCAAGCTTCTTCTATAGGTTTACTACTCCAAAACGTTGACGTTTCCGCCTATTATGTCTCTTCTACTTCATCTTCAACTCTTCCTCTTCTTCCTCGCCCTCTTGGGTTCAAGCCAAGTGCAATTCGTGGCCTCTCACCATGAGTCCGGTGACTGGCATTGCGAGCCAGACGAGACGGTTCGAATCGTGGCCGAGTTTAAGCCCGGATTTGTCACTCTTGATGGACATTCTGATGATTGGATCGATGTTGATGGGTTCGATTTTCCACTACGCCCAGCTCTCGATCCAGATGAAGATAATGAGTACGAAGCTGGGAAAATGGCCGTTAAGGTGCAATTGGACTTGAAATTCATATACCTGATAGTTTTTTCAAAGATAAAATGGTTCACATGCATGTTATGAGAGAAAAAAAGACCTAGATTCAAGTCTCACCATCGCCTGTTTATGAAAATTAGCATCGCAAGAAGAATTCAATCTAATTTTTAGCAGAATGTACGATCGTTTTCAGAGACTACTAATTTGTGCGAGTCTTGTGATGTAGGGTATTGTCATGACTTTATTCAAAAGTTATAGTTTATGGCACAAATACAATTCGCCATATATCATCCAGAATCAAGTTTGGAAATCTACCTCAAGCCTACTCCATTAGCCCATCCCATTTCAAGCACGCTCTTACATTAGATTCGTGCAATTTTTTATCAAATTTAATTAGATTTTTATTTTGCATAGCTTGAAAAATCGAATAATATTGTGTATTGCTAGTTACTACAGATCCCGGAAAATTTTTAGTTGAAATAGGAAATGTTTTAGAGGAAATTGAATTTGAAATAGATAAACGAAATAAATAGTATATTATATTAATGAGTTTCTTGATAATGAATTATAGGTTCTTCATGATGGAAAGGATATTTACTTCATGTTGCAAGTGGATGGAGATTATGTGTACACAAAAGGGTG